AACATGGATGGATGACATTAAAGAGCTTCTACATGGACACAGGATGACAATAGCCAATGCTGCCTATCAGGCAATGGATCGCAAACTGTGACTCCCCACAACGCTTAACGACAGAAGCGAAAATTTATGATGAAAACGTTGAATTAAGGACTATAAATGTCAAAGATCTGTGAGGAGAAAAATAGAAATAAAAATAAACGGGTTCTAACAATAATATCAGATGTGCAAAACTGCTCTTCCTCGCAATAAAATCTAGCAAGAGTGTAAACAATTTTTGAAACTACAGACAGGCAGACAGACAGTCAGTCAGACAGACAGACAGACAGACAGACAGACAGACAGACAGACAGACAGACAGACAGACAGACAGACAGACAGACAGACAGACAGACAGACAGACCGACCGACCGACCGACCGACCGACCGACAGGTAGGTAGGTAGGTAGGTAGGTAGATAGATAGATAGATAGATAGATAGATAGATAGATAGATAGATAGATAGACCGATAGATAGATAGATAGATAGATAGATAGATAGATAGATAGATAGATAGATAGATAGATAGATAGATAGATAGATAGATAGATAGATAGATAGATAGATAGATAGATAGATAGATAGATAGATAGAGATAGATAGATAGATAGATAGATAGATAGATAGATAGATAGATAGATAGATAGATAGATAGATAGATAGATAGATAGATAGATAGATAGATAGATAGATAGATAGATAGATAGATAGATAGATAGATAGATAGATAGATAGATAGATAGATAGATAGATAGATAGATAGATAGATAGATAGATAGATAGATAGATAGATAGATAGATAGATAGATAGATAGATATAGATAGATAGATAGATAGATAGATAGATAGATAGATAGATAGATAGATAGATAGATAGATAGATAGATAGATAGATAGATAGATAGATAGATAGACGAACGGAGGGACGGACAGACAGACAGACAGACAGACAGACAGACAGACAGACAGACAGACAGACAGACAGACAGACAGACAGACAGACAGACAGACAGACAGACAGACAGACAGACAGACAGACGGACAGACGGACAGACGGACAGACAGACAGAGACAGACAGACAGACAGACAGACAGACAGACAGACAGACAGACAGACAGACAGACAGACAGACGGACGGACGGACGGACGGACGGACGGACGACAGACAGACAGGACAGACAGACAGACAGACAGACGACAGACGGACGGACGGACGGACGGACGGACGGACGGACGGACGGACATACGGACGGACGGACGGACAGACAGACAGACAGACAGACAGACAGACAGACAGACAGACAGACAGACAGACAGACAGACAGACAGACAGACAGACAGACAGACAGACAGACAGACAGACAGACAGACAGACAGACAGACAGACAGACACCACCTGTGACTCCAACTTTCCATGCATAGTTCTCTTATAAGAAGATGCTAACGTACACGGGCACATACATACATACAAACACACAAATTAATCTATGTTCTTTATAAAATATCTACAGCAATACACAATCCGCATTACCTCTTTGATACAGTGCCAGCCTCCAGGGGGCGGTTTCGCCCACCTTTTGAACCGCTACATTACATTAAGGAAGCGGCTCGTTAAAAAAAGTATGTATGCTTACATGTGAACTTACATAGCTGCGTGTAATAAACTTGCTGAAGCCGGCAGACATATTACATTATCCAATAAGGGATTAGAGATGGTTTGCGTAGCTAGATCACCTGTTTGTTGATTTACATTAAATTAACATTTGATGATTGTACCAAAAATACTTCCATTATTCGTCTAGGACAGTATTCCCAAACCGTGTGCCATGATTCATCTGAGTATTTCTAAAATTCCCATGCCCCATGTATAACATATACTTAATACTTAAACTCTGGACGAGTCCATGTTCGAATTGCAGCCCCTCACCCTAAAACAATTAAATCCCCCCACCCCCTTTCTTTCGCCCCAGGGATATGCTCCTATGTTGGAAAACACTGGTTTAAAATTAATGTACCTGGGCATGACCGCTGGGTGGTGAATTGATATGTTACAAGGCAGATGTGGTCAGAGCCCTTTGGGAACAAGTAAGAAGAGAAAATAGATTATTATGGGCTGGAGAGAATGATGCACCTGTCTATTACCAGAGGGTTCGGCCGGCACACTACGCTCAGAAGAAAGGCAAGATGGACATACAACCAGACCGTGACCGGCACCATTAGTGTTGGAACTCTGCGCTGGCTGCTGAGGATGGAGACAGAGCGCATATGGGAATGCCCCGAGTGCTGTGATGTCCATTCTTGACTCAACTCAACTGGTCTACAATTAAATCGACCATATCTTCTTCTTGGCGTTCGTAGGATGTAAACACCGGCAAAAAGTTCTGGCTGTTTATTCACCTTTGGACTTTAGACTTGTTGCAGAACCTGAGTGTTGCGTGCACATCCGGTTTACTGGTTTGACTTATATGTCTGCAAACTGTTGGTTCCTTGCCTCTCAGGCACTCAGACTTTGAAGGAAAACCCCTATTAGTTCCATGATGTTAAGATCTTTCAAGATGTCAGTATTTCTCCTCTTTTTCGTCCAAGATATTCTGAGAATCTTTCTATAGCATTTCAGATCAAAAGCTCCTATTCTCTTTCTGGGAGATAGTCAACGACTCACATCCGTATGTTGCTACAGGGAAGATGCATCCTCTCAAAATTCTAATTTTGATCTCCTTGCTGATGCTTAACCATAGACTCATTTGTAGATCAATTACTAAACCAATATTTGTATATAGATTTATTTAATTTCTGTATTCCTAAACGTCTCAATATGGCATCATTATCCGTGTGATTTATCTGCTAACTGTTTTCTAACAAATGAGATACGCAGATTAAGCAAGCAGCATTTCTTTCGTGGAAGTCTGGCTCAGCAGGAAGTGACGTAAACGTCACTTTCCATTGGTCAAACGGCGAATGTGCCGGCCAGCGGAAATATTTATCTAATTGCCACACGCTGTGGCCACTCATGCCAAACAACAGGTGTCATGCCATGGCGTTTTTCTTCGCGGAGCATTTCTACACTCCGGCAGAGGACGATTATGACCCCCCCCCCCCCCCCCCTCGCGCCCCTACCCCATCCATAAAAACATTTTGGGGAAAAAGGGGTGGAAGGGTTGGCTGAGTTCCCCTCGAAAATTTCATAAGGCGGCTGAGAGACTTCCTTTAATCACTCATAGAATTTTCTTGAAACGTATTTATTTATAAGTTTAGTATTTTTTCAAGTACTTTATTATAATTATTTGCTATTTATTAGAGTACCCTCAGTATCTTTATTCTCTTAATTATACAATTTGAAGGCCAGCCCCTCTTTTTTCATAGATAATTTTTAAGACGGTTTCCCCCTTTCCACAGCGGCTTCAATGAGGGCCGTAAAACATGAATGTATTCATCCTAATTTTCTGTTCGAGGTAGCTGTTACAAACATTTCCTAGTGTAATGTGTACCTTGTGCAATGTCTCTATTCAATAGTTTAAGGTCCCTCAAGTTGGAGTACATCTGCCGGTGAGGTAGGGAACGGCACACAAATAAGCGAATAAAATAAATGTACACGCAAAACTCAGGTCCAGGTATTAGCCACAAGTCCAAATTGACCAACACAGGAACCTTCGGTTGGAATTCATAGCTGGTGAACGAAGAAGAAGAAGAAGAAAAGCAGTTGAAGATGTATGTAGTATTCTTTTTTCTCACAGGACATTAAATCTGCCGTCTGTCATAGGCGTCCGTACTTAAGGAATAGCCATAAGTAAAAGGTAAGGGATCGACTTTATTGCACCGGGTTTTATCCCAATTAGCCCAGTCCTCTCCGCAGAATAGCTAGCTGCCTGCCGAGAGCGTCGCACAGAGCAGGACCATCGTAGCTCCGGCGACGATCACCAGAGATCTTATTAACAAATAGCAATACAGTGCCCTAACAGGAGGATTGGTGTCTTCTTCCTCTTCGTCTGTGATATCTTCATCCTTCGGCTCAACCAATCCGATTTAAGAAAACGCCTAATAAGGCGCCATTTGGCGACTGTCTGTCTGTCTGTCTGTCTGTCTGTCTGTCTGTCTGTCTGTCTGTCTGTCTGTCTGTCTGTCTGTCTGTCTGTCTGTCTGTCTGTCTGTCTGTCTGTCTGTCTGTCTGTCTGTCTGTCTGTCTGTCTGTTAAGAGTTAGGAGAATAATAAGGCCGTAACTATCACTGTAATTGTTTGGAAACTCACTGCAATATATATACAGTTAATGTCATGTGTTTCTAGAGTCATCGTAACTTATAAAACATATAAACTATGCCCCAAATATCTTCTAAGTGTTTATGTAATGTCTCACGAAACTACATCAGAATGCTAAGGTGGTTAACACAAGCCTATAATAAGCTAGTCGGAGACGTCAGCTGAAGGAGCGAATATCGCGGTCTATCCAACAGTTTGGGCTTCTGGCACACATGAAATCCAGCCAACCCGCAGCGTGGACAGCAAGACAGTGGGCATAGCACTGTGAGCTGGAGACAGTCTAAGACGCTTTAAACAGATTAAATGTGGCCATATATAAAGCTGGGAGCCGGTGTGGTGCTGCGTCTAGACGCTGGTGTGCAGATTCGAAGGTCGTGGGTTTGGGTCCTGAAGGAGCTAAACTTTTGTTTTAAATTACCCTGGCTCTCAGATCGACCCAGTCTTGAGTGGGTCCTGGGATGTAAAGGCGGCCGGCTTGATGCTAGCCGTGTCAACCACCGAGTGCCGATGGTCTAGGCAAATATAGGTCTAGCCCTACATACTAAGAAAAAGAAGAAGAAAAAAAAAGAAAAGGATTGGGGGACGGAGGGGGTGGGGGGGGGGGTGAAAAGGAAGAAGACTTTAGCAGTCCAGAGCAAACGTACAAATTAACTGTGTCGGAAGCAACAGCATGAATCTTGTAAACAAAGAGGACAGTTCCAACAAACCTGATCTGACGTACGGCTTGTTGTTTGTCGGTGTTTTGTCCAGCGTATAGCTGCTGGGCTGACTAAGTGCTCGCGAGAAATGTTCATCTACAACTGTGGCAGTATCCCCACTGAAGTATGTAAATAGCACACAGTTCGAGGCCAGGTAATGTGTTGCCTTCGGCTGTGCAGATTTGTCCGTATCCCGAATGTCCTTGTCGGGCAGGTGTCCGTTGTCAAAGAAACTGCTGGGGCCTGGTCCAGTGATGCCGCCATCGTACAGAGGCTGTGACGGGTACTTCTGCTCGGTAAGAAAAACAACAACAAATAAATAGAATTGTTGTCATTCTGTTGTCAACATTGTTTTATGTAAAATGACATAGGGATGAGTAAAACAAATAATTGATTCTCATGTATGGGCTCTTTTCTTTATTTCACCCTATCTGGAATGCTCCAAGATTTCGTAAGGAATTTCTCAGGAAGTCCAATAGTATTGGGGTGTTAGGGTGTGACATGAATACCGACTAACCCTAAGCCACCACCACTCCCACCCCGCCACTCCCTACAGACACACACCTTCAATACTGCACTTTCCCGGGAGTTGCCTACCTTATTTCAGAACCCCCAAGATAGGCGAAATGAAAGAAAAGAGCCCATGTATGTAAACACTTGGTCAACATTACCGTCAAGTTTCCCGTGTGTGTCCCAGGGACACAATATTTGTTTGGAACATGAAAAGACCTGCTGCTGACTCCCACAGAAAGTCGTAAAAAGGCGGCTAATGATATATTTTTTTTCTTAATCAGATATATTGAGGGAAAAGGTCCAGATATTACAGCCTTACTGTAAACCACAATACAGTGGTGACAGGGGCCCTTTCAAGGGCTAATTCAGAGGAGGAGGAAAAAGAAGGTTTCAAATCAAATGACTTAATATCTTTTAGTTAATTCTGTACCTAAACAGGTGCTCTGAAGATATCTTCTTTCGCATCTTCGCCTTCGCCTGCTGTAAACTCGGCAACAAATTATAATTGTTCATTCACTTTAATGCTTCAATCTTCTTCTAGAACCTGAGTTTTGGATGCATATCCATTCTGCAGATCTGGCTTATTTATACATTTTTGGTTTTTTACTTTGCACTCTGGCTTCGAAGGAAAAGCTTCTAATTAGTCACCTTTTACGACATGCTTGATAGGGAGCAATGAGTCTATTGTCTCCCAGTAGGGCACAGGAAACCACACAGTGATTGTGAAGATAAAGTTGAACACGCATAATTTATTTACATCTACACTCAAACAGTAACTGCAGATACGACTTATCAAGCATGGGGTGGGGGTGGGGGAGTATATCTACACCTAAATAATTACGAAAGTTATGCGCAGCTGAGTAAGCATAGTTTAATTACATGTATACTTGAAAGAGGTACTCGAAGATGCAACTTTATCACTGTTTACGTGCACTTAAACAGCTACTTATCAAGCACCGTGTGATTACTCCCGTACTTAAATAATTACTGTTTAAACCACCACCACTTGAAGGTATAAACTAAACAAGCATCACTTAAATAAACCCATACATATTTAGTCACTTGAATACATCACTACTGTGGCTGCTCGTTGTTATCAAATTGCAGTATACATAATATTTGACCAATTTTAGGGCGGCGTATAAGAAAGGGAACCGTCGAGGTGTAGAGGTTAGATCTTCGCCTGCGGGTCGAAAGGTCGTGGTTTCGGGTTCCGACAGAACCTAGATTTGTTTCAAAACTGATCTTGGCCCCCAGGCTGACCCAGACTTGAGTGGGTACAATGTAAAGTCCTGGGAAGTAAAGGCGACCAGTGTTATGCTGATCACATCACTTACTAACTGCCGATTGATCTTTATATGTCTAGCCCTATATGTCCAATACGCAAACAGTTTTGGAAAATAGTCCTTTACTCTACTATAAGAAAGTGTTGTGAGACTGAGGATTTAGGACCGCATCCCTAGTGCAGGCGTAACTATCAGTGTATATTAGCGTTTTTACTTAAGAAAATGTATGCGAGATCACAATAGCTAGGTCTGAAAATCCATAAGGGAAAGGCAATGATAATGAGAATTAATCAGACAGAGAGTAATGTCGATTCTCTTAATGGCACCCCACCCCAAGACTTGGAGTCTTACATCTTCTTGGGGAGTAATGTAGATACAGATTAGGGAACTGACAGAGATATTTAAATACGAATACGAAAAAAGCAAGAAGTTCTTTCATCGCAGCGAGTAATTTGTAAAATTAATACTAAACTTAAAATGTGTAATTCTAATGTCAAATCAGTACTGCTGTAAAAAGCGGAAACACGGAGAACAACTAAGACAGTAACAATAAACTATAAACATTCACTAAATGGTGTATGCAGAGAATAGAGAGAATTAAATGGTATGATAGAATCCCTAATGTCAAGCTTTGAGAGAGAACTAAACAATATTCAGTGGACCAGGAGCTGAAGAAAAGACGCTAGCGCTGGATAGGACAGAAGTTGAAAAAACATAAGAATAAAATAACTAGAATGTTTTTGCCCTAGAACCCATAAGGGGTATAAAAATAAATGAAAACTTAAAACACGTGAAGGAGGGAGCTATAGAGGGAAATTAAAAAGATGAGAAGAGAGCTGCATGCGATAGGGAAGGATAGAACAAGTTGGCGAGAGTTGGTTGAGGGCCTATGCTTCACTAGGGGTTAGAAAGCAGAAAATAAAAAATCTACACATCCTCCTCCCCCCCCCCCCCCCCACCCCCGAAGTAATCTAATCTCAAATTGTCGAGGAATTGAACCCCGGTATCTCGCACTAAAACTCAGCGTTTTTCAATACCTGTGAACAGTTACAGAGCGTATGGGTTATAACTGGGAACTAGCAGGAATGTCTGGTGTTGTTGGCAGCGTGTGAAGTGCACGCGTCGTTGATTACAGTAGGACAGGAAAGTCGTCATAAACAAGACACGCCGTATAACAGACCATGCCCAGGACCTGTGAGCATGTACAATGTGTGTACGGAGCAAAGAGGGCATCTTTTACATGGAAACATTTGTTTGTGTGAAGCAATTTATACAACGTATGTATGGAGCAACGCGGACATCGTTTGCATGTTTGTGTGAAGCAATATGTACAATGTATGTATGGAGCAACGCGGACATCGTTTGCATGTTTGTGTGAAGCAATATGTACAATGTATGTATGGAGCAACGCGGACATCTTTTACTTGTTTGTGTGAAGCAATATGTACAACGTATGTATGGAGCAACGCGGACATCGTTTGCATGTTAGTGTGAAGCAATATGTACAATGTATGTATGGAGCAACGCGGACATCGTTTGCATGTTAGTGTGAAGCAATATGTACAATGTATGCATGTAGCAACAAGGAAATCGTTTACAGAAAAACTATTACTGTGTGAAGCAACATGTACAGTGTATGTATGAAGCAACAAGGACATCGTTTATATGGACTAAAATTTGTGTGAAGCAACATGTACAATTTATGTATAGAGTAACGGAAACATTTTTACGGGGGAAATGAGGTTTTGTGAAGCAACAGTTACAGTGTATGTATGGAGCCACAGGGATATCATTTACACGGAAAATGTAGTTGTGTGAAGCAACATGTACAATGTTTGTATGGTGTAAGGGGGACATCATTTTCAGGAAAATATTTTTGTGTGAATCAACACTTACAATGTATTTATGGAGTGACTGGGACTTTGTTTACTGGGAAAATACGTTTTGTTTGGAGCAAAATGCTATCAGTGAACATAATGTGGCTAGAGATGACTGACTTAACCGGCATGGACAGATATTAGTGTACGCCTCAAGAGAGGACATAACAAATTTAACAAGCATATGCATAAGCTTCGTTAAAGTAGTTCACCATAATGCCCTTGTAGACTGTGTGTGCAGACTACAGAATAAGTCCTGCAAAACTGTCCCTTGTACAGCCCGTTAAGAAAGGAATACTGTCCCAATGAATCAATAGTGCATTCAAAGTTGCATGGAATTCAAAGGAAACTCATGAAAACAGTAAATTTTATCACAAGACATTGTCATTCGATGTAAATAAGAAAGCGACCACAAGAAGAAGTCACCACCCCACTTGGTTTCTTGCCTCTCAGACAGATGCACTCCAACTTCAAGTGATGAATCCAATTAATCTACTTCTACGACATGCTTGTTGGGGAAGGCCGTAGATCTACTCTTGCTTTAACCACAAAAGGGCCCCAATATTTGCACAGGGATGTGTAGATTTCAGACCCATAATTATAAGCTTTTTTGTGTGTTGAACATTGTCTTTGGCTCTCAGCTTGATCCAGACTAACGGGGGTACCCGTTAACATCATGGGAAGTAAAGACGGTTGGCGAGAGGTTGTCAACATCACCAATCTACTGATTAGTCTACAAATATGTAGGTCTAGCAGAGCACTATATGCCTGGTGTGCCAGTGTTGCGGGGAATGAGTTCTCTATTTTAATATACTTTACTTTACCTCACTTAACTTCATTTCTTTTTACTTCACGTCCCTTTAATTTTAGTTAATTTTTACTTTATTTTACTCCACTTTACCTTACTTTACTTCATTTTACCTTATTTACTTTACTTTTCCAGTTACAAATGTTTCCTCTTGAATTGAATTCTTGTGTGGCCACACACAACACAAAGTTTATTCTTCTTTTTCTTCTCCAACTGGAGCATAGGCCCTCAACCAAAACATACTAAATAGTCCTTTCCTTTGCTGTTGCATGCAACTCGCCCTGTGTCTTCCTTATCGATTTAACTTTGTTCTCTATCTCTCTTCTCCACCATTACTCATATGTTGCCGTTCCAATAGGAGCCGCAATGTTTCGTTACTTTAAAGCCCTACTCCGGCTGATGTCAGTGACCTTAATATAACCCAAGAGTTGAACAGGGTTTCTTAGACTTGCGCACGGGTGATTCTCAACCGAATGGTGTCACTTGGTGTCACTTAGTGTCACCTTGTGTTTATCGCTTGTTGTGCGATCCTGATAAGACTGAACTTCATGAATTCTCTCTTCTCTGTGTATTTGTGTGTGTGTGTGTGTGTGTGTGTGTGTGTGTGTGTCTGTGTGTGTGTTTGTTTTGTTTCTGCTTTTACTTGTATGCGCCTGTGAGTTCCAGTCCAAAGACATTCTAGCTAAATTGTTCTTACGTTGTCTGAACGTTTTTTTTAAATCCAAAACCAGCGTCTCTTCTTCACCTCTTGATTCATTGAAATTTGTTTAATCTTCTTAGTGTTTCTGTCATATAATTTAATACCCTGTATTCTAAGGTATTCAAAGCAGGCACCTGTCAATGAATAGTTGTAGTTTATTAATAGTAATTTTTATAGGTTTTTGCGTGTACCGATACATTCAAAGAACCAGTCTCGTTCCATCTTCACAGAGTTGAATCCAACAGACCTCCAACAATCGCTGGCTTTTAATGTAGTTGTACACTCACTTAAACTTACATTATCCATCTCTTTTATTATCCTTCTATATGTAACTTTGTTTCAGTATCTAATGTGTAACTTGTCTTATACTCCCACCTATAACTTTATCGTATCCTCCCACCGGTAACTCTGTCTTATCCTCCCATTTTTAACTTTGCCTTATCCTCCCACGGGTAATTGTGTCTTATCCTCACACTTTTAACTTAACTGTGTACACCTTGTTTGTTCGCCTGGTTTTGTCGTATCCCATCAATATTGTTTTATACGTCTGTTTCAGTTTTATTAATACGCATCTTGCCTATTCGCTGTCCTGCAAGCGGAATGATCCCTCCTTGTGTTGCGGATTTTATCCTTCTAAAGATATGCCTTGCGCTGACTTCTTTGAGCCAGCGTCGCTATACGATATTGCTGACAGTAAACGTCTGCCTACGGCTTATATTACCAGCTTCATTACCGCCGTAATAATATGTGTACGGTGACATTACAAGCTGTAAACATGATTAGAAGCCGTTGTAAAGACATCCAAACAAGGAGACAATGAACTGATGACTTTAAAAAAACTACACCCGCACTGAGTGACTCTAGCCAATGCGTCCCATCCAACAATAGATTGCAGACAACTCTCACCCACAACCCTTTAACAGCATGTCTGGACACTGATGATGATGAAGAAACATGGTTATAGTAAATGTTGTTTATCTGTGACCTTACGAACTTTCTACGGGATGATAGTTAACATCTGCCTACCACGACATTACAAACTTTGTACTCGGCGATAATGAGAGTCTGTCTACAATGGTATTACTCTTTTTAGCTAGGGTGGTAGTGAAATACTATGTGTGACATTACGAGCTTTGTGATTGACAAGAGTATAGACCATGTGTTAGGGTATATGGTGCTTGCCCCATATTTGACGGTCGAATAATTGCTCGAAGGGTTATGTCAACGTTACTTCTAGACTATTTCCTGTACACATACATATTTAGGCTGGGTCGACATAGAATGCCAGACCAATTTGCATAATCCCTTCGATAGAGATTCAAACATTTTACTATCGAGCTTGTAGGTAAGCCTCCTATCCCCAACAAGGCTACTATCATATTTTTAGAAAAAAGGCAAATCATCATGTTTTTTGGCTTCAGTTCAGAATAGCAAGTTTACCTGGCAAATGCATCACATGGCAACACTATGAGAGACTTTTTTTAGAATGACCCTAGATGACATTTAAAGTCGTCATAGATCCATTTATATGCCCAGGTTCTATCTCATTTGGCTCTGTCTATCTGTCTCGAACCCATAGTCTGTCAACGAAGGTGTCGCACAAAGCACGAATTCCGTAGCTCCAGGTTCAACCCTGCAGAATTTCATTATTCCTGCAGTTGCGAACCGAACGACAGAGTCGCACACTGAAACCATATAGTCTTCACAGAGCAGGAGTAACTGCTAAACCATATCTCCAAACAGACTCTTAAAGTAACCGAAATACCTTTAAAATCTTATCAGTGAGCCAGTCTATGATGTAAAATTGTTTAATTTACGTAAATCTAACAGTCTAACAACCTATCAACCACATAAAACCATGAGTTGTACGTAAAAGAGAAACACAAATTGCACCGTAACACGGAGCACGTAAAGGAAACGATCACTTTTTAAAGTACCCACGCACATTTTCTTCCACTTTATCAGTATATTTACTTGAATGGCAGGAAAGGAATTCTTGGCTTACCTCTAGCTAAAACCCCTTTCATTTTAGAAAGTCCTAAACCATTCTTGGATCTCCAGAAATTTTCCCCACACCCGGTACGGTATGTTCCTGTCCCCGCCACTTCTTTGGAAGAATTACTACGTCTGATCCTGTCGTTGCAGGCATCTAGCGGTTATCCGCTGGTTTCTTTAATCCCCTGAAGATTCCGAGCAGATTACAATTAAATAGCACTTAATTTATGTTTGCAAGTTGTCTATTTCTGTGATTACGTTTTCGCTTATCTAATCCGCTTACCTGTGTGTCCTCAGCCGGAGTCTTATAAGAGAAATAAGGTGAATAAAACTGATACATAAAATCAACGCAACTCATTTCTGTTATGGCGGTACGGCTATGCTTCGCAAGGTGTTGTGAAAACCGAAAGTCTAGCGGTGTTGGGACTCAGTAAGAACTTTTGCATAATGTTACTCCTTCATGCTTGACGTTTCTATCTCTGGGGCGGGCTTGAAACATCGCATCCTTCCAATACCACAGCCTCGCTACCACCTCGAAACTGTCATTCCAGAACTTGTGGAACTCGGGTCTGGCACCGCCCACTGATGAAAACTTCGGATGAGCTACAGTATCGCCTGTAGCAGAACCAACCAATCCTACTCCAGAATTACTTTCCGTTAAGATTTGCGTGGCACGCGCTATAGAGGTGAGCTGATATGCAGGGTGTGCATCGATTGTTGATTATTTCCTGTCTCTTTTGATCTCCTCAGTGGCCTGTCTGTAAAATATGACGCCCCGGTCAATATTTGAACGGTGGACATCGGCTACAGTCGTCGTTGTTCTTCCCTCTGATCCGCTTGTAGCGGTAGAGTTGTGCAGCGAGAGTAAATTGGTTGATCGGGAAGACAAATGTTGACATCTCGAGATCAAAGCCGAAAAGGTATTTTATTTGCTGCCTGGTTCATTTGCTCCAACAATACAAATTGTGAGCACAACACAGATATTGAATGAACAACGCAGATGAAGAAACTAAACATTCGTGTAATCCTCACCAGGTTTTTCAAAAAGGCTGTATTTAGTGTGGTTGTGAAGAAACAGCAACCCCCCCCCCCCCCCCCAACCCTCCCGCCACTACCACCTTTTTCGGGGCCATCTTTTAGTCGAGGAGACGGCCTATTGTACGTATAAAATCTGTGGAAGAGAAGGGGAAGATAACTGTAGCAGTGATAACTGGGAAATCATACAAGCGACATCGGGACACGCGACTTGTCACTGACTTCATGACCTGGCATGACAGCAAATAAACACAGCATACCGACGGTGTGAGCATACAGGGTTAACAGAACCCGTCAGTGTCATTGTGGCAACCGATGAACAAAGTGAATTTAAGAACAAATGAAAGTACAAACAAAAGAACGGAACATTTACAAATGAATTAATGAACGATAAGACAAACGAGGGCATGAACAAACGAATAAAGACGTGAAAGAAGGAAGGAACAAAGGAAGTACACATGAATTGACGAACAACGGAACAAATAAGCTGAACGAAATGACGAAAAACAAAAGGAGCTAATGAAAAAAAAAAAAAAAAACGAGATGAAGAAACAACTAATGAAGGAAGGGGATCACAATAAAAGAATAAATGAAGAAACGAACAAAGAAATAAAAGAACCAATTGACGAATTAACGAAAGGACAAAAGAAGAAATGAACGAATAAATAAAAGAAAGAAGGAACAAAGAAACTTTATTAAGAATAGATCTCTTGAGAATGACCTATCGCTCACCGTAAGTACACGACTTCTTTCATTTCTACTTTAAAAAAAGTTTCCTAAATTAATTATTACAATAATTATAACATTGATCTCTGTGGGGCCCTGTCTGCTGCCAGTTTTATTACACGGTCAAACCATTTGATTTGTTGTCTACCTATAAGGTTCTGTGCCGACTCTTCTCCGGATATCATCATTACTAGGTCGATCTTTCCTCGTTACACCTAGCATATTACGTAAACATTTAATTTATATCGTGACTATTTTTCTTGTCTTCTGAAGCAAGAGGCAGACAGCGATAGAAGTGGGAGGATAATAAAAAGAGCTGAACAAACAGCCGTCTGAGAGAGTACACTCATGATTAAAAACAGTGTTTTAGAGATCGGTTGTAGCCAACCTTCCCTGTAGAAAGGGCAATCGACTGATCAGCTGAGCATCATAATTTATTTGCCGGGTGAGGAGCATTGCCTGGATTTCTCCGGGGATGCCGGTATGCTTGGAAACGAACAGGCAGATATACTGGCAGGCACTGCACAACATGTGGAATACTGATGCATGCTAGGGCAGGCGTAGTTAGGGCCTTGAGGGAACAAATGGATCACCACAGTCTGGCGAAAGGGACGCAACAGTATTGACGAGGGGATCTGGCTGATACTCGACGCTTAGAGGAAAGAAAAGATGAACGTATAATCAGAATGCTGTTGACATCATTGGTGTTGGAACTCTGCGCTGGCTGCCAAATATGGGGACAGAGCGCTTATGGAAATGCCCGAGTGCTGTGATTTCGATTCTTGAATCAACTCAGCTCAACTCAAAAACATTATAATTTCTTCTCACTTGCACCTTCGCTGCCAATTTTTCTGCTAATGAAATAGGTAACTATCATGGGGTAGAATAAGCATTCACTGGTTTTACTTTTCAGAAGGAGCCGTAAACTGGCTTTAAATAAAAAGCAGTTAAAGTCTAAAAAATCGATTTCATTACGTTGAATTTTTATCACATATGGCTTGTGCGACGTAAAGAACAAACACCGTAGCCTTAGAGACTATCTTGAAGTGAAAAACACAGCAGCTCACTTAGCTTTGTGGAAATGATCGGCTCCAGCAGTCAAGTAGTTAAATCACTGTTTTTTGGTTGTTCTCGAGTTTCACCAAATGTAATATTACATTTTCTTTCGTTTACTTTTAGCGACTGTAAAACAATGTATTGATTTGCCTCCCCCGTCCTTCCAAAGTATATTGTATACAGGTATCAACAGCATTCAATCATCAGTTCTCTTTATACCCAGTGGCTTCGGAGAAGACTTTCCATGCTTTCCTGTCCTGTGCAATCTTCAGTGCAGTTTTCCATGTCACAGATGCAGCACTCAGGTCACTTTCCATCCTTCGTCTTCGTGTTGTTTTTAGGCGACCCTTTTTTCTCTTTCATCAACAGCATTAAGACAAAGAAAACTGCGTTAAATTAGGCACTTCCTGAGAAGACGCGAGCAGAGAATTCAAAAAGGCACTGAAATTAGACACAAGTGGAACAAGGAAACGAGACGCCCAAGAGATACTTAAAACTGAGTTTAATGAAAGAAGCCAAAGAAGACGGCCTGGATTCTATCCAACATATATCGACAAGACTGCAGATAAAAGAATTGACTGGAGAACTAGACTGCGAGCCCTGTGTGAAATAGAAAGGCACACGACGATGTTAAGGATGAAAGTGATGATGTGAATACACATTATTCATCTATCATCATCATCATTATTATACTCACCTCTACCGCCATCACCACTATCGTCATCGTCAAGTGCCTTACCAGCTGGCGTAGGCGTTCAAGCCTCTACAAAGATCTCAGTCTTTGGTATACTAGATCGATTCCACTGATGATATTCTCCCATGTCACTGTCTTCAACCATCCACCATAGTTTCTCTCGGTCTGAACCTATCCTAAAATAGGTACCAGGTAATATCCTGGGAAGTAAAGGCTACCGATCCGATGCTGACCAAATCACCAACCCAGTGGCGATTGTCTATTCAAATATGAGTCAAACAATATGAGACCGATGCTCCAGTGGTATAAACAAGCTCCTCTACTTTTACGTTAGATATGTGGGGTTTTTTCCCAGGTCCCGACAACTCACCATAATAATTTTGTCTGCTCGACACAGGTTTGGCGTGTGTGTCATTCAACCCCACGAGGACCTTACAACGAGCCACCTACACCCGGTGACACAAAGTGCCACTCCGTTCAACCGTTAGGTTATTTTGGGCCCCGACTACATCCATTTTGGGGCGGCGCTTATAGTAACAGATTACAGGTTTCGTACTACTTAACGTCTTCTGTCCAAATATGCTATATATCAGTTTTCTTTGACTCTTTCCGTCAAAACATCGAAACGGGGGCTACGGATAGTTGACAGGTTCATGCAACAGCTTTCAGATGTGCAGAACTGTACCTTCAGACTAGTATTAGTATCACTCTACTCCAGTTATCGGGATCACCAAGGTGTCCTCCACATGCAAGTTACTGCCATCAAATCTAGCCACTCATTGACAGGGTCCGTAAGTCTCATCAACGATCTCAAGGGGGCCAATTCACCTAGGGAACTTAACATCCAACACAGTTTTGTCTAATATCTTTGGTTTACGGTCCTTGTTTCTCGGGGCATTGTCTAGCTAGTATTCATCTAATGTGGCCACACACGTGTCAGACATTCTTATGGCTAGACATAAATGTGATTTATATCAGAGATGTGTCAGTTAAGTGATCTGATGCATTCTTGTTTGTACTTGTGATATTGTAGATTTATGCTATGTGTTGATGAAGGTTCTTTAACCGCAGCGTTCACTTGCCATTTGCGACTGTGATCTGACTAATCTGTAAACAGACTGTTGGTTCCTTGCCTCTTAAGCTGATGCACTTCGACTTCGAATGAAGCTCCCAATTAGTCGACTCTTACGACATGCTTTTGGGTAGGCAGTGGGTCTATTCTTGTTTTCCCTATAACAGGGCCCGGAAACCCACATGGGGATATATATATACTCTCACACACTTCTTTACTAAACACCTTGTCATACCACCCCTCTTGTACTTTCTCATGCTCACTGTACCTCCTTCCGTCTATCTCTCTATCTCTATCACTCTCTTCCTCGCTCTTTTCTCTCTCCCTCCCTCTACTAACTCCCTTCTATTTTCTCAGAAAAGACACGTCTGGTTTCCCTTTTACCGCGAGACGCGTTTGGTGGCACGACACCGGGTCCAGCAGAGACCGAAATGAAGAACAATGTGCTACTGTGTATTCTTCATTTCCTCCACTGTTTTCTTAAACTTTAAGGTACAAGTGACGATGACCTTGCAGCTTGTTTTCTCCCCAACTTTCGCCCGCTTGCCGCAGTTTCTCTCTATCCCATATGCTATGCAACACGTTCCAATTTCAGCGCTCTCTACTCCATTTCCTGAAGAGACTTCCCAAGGGAAGTTTATAAACGGTTGCGAAGCGGAAAGATCATAATCCACAGCACCGTGCGTAAAATCACAGGGAAGGACAGTCACACATTGCTGTTTTTACTTCTGTTGTTAATCATCTGGCTGTTTTGCCGCAACAACCTCCAACCGCG